TGGATGAGGATATGGTTGCCCACCTAAGCGACTTTGGTATTTCAAAACTGCTTGGTGAAGATGAGAGTGATTTATACACAAAAACCTTAGCAACATTTGGTTATATTGCACCGGGTACGTCTCTTTGTTTTTGCTAATTTGAACATTGATTTTTCCTCTTATTCTTTTTTTCCAATCAAGAAAGTATATTGCATCTTTTAATTAATTGTTTGACTGTAGAGTATGGACTGGATGGACTGGTGTCAATAAAATGTGATGTCTATAGTTACGGGATTATGTTGCTGGAAACATTTACTAGGAGAAAGCCTACTGAGTTTGAGGGAGATCTTAGCTTGAAGCAATGGGTGAGTTATTCACTCCCAGAGGCAGTAATGGACGTTATGGATGCCAACCTGGTTACACCAATGGATAATCGCTTACAGAAGGAGCTAGATGTTATGGCATCAATCATGAAAGTGGCATTAGATTGCTGTGCTGAATCTCTGGCAAGAAGGACAAACATGAAAGATGTTGTAGGGATGCTACAGAAGATCAAGATTCAACTTCTTGCATGCTGAGCATGTTCTCTGTATCTCTTGTTCTGAATCGATCACTTGTTTGTTTTATGGAAAGATAATGCTTTTTTTGTTTTGTTTTAGAACTTGATTTGTGCATGATTCTGTTTTCAGAAATGCTAGTTGGTTGCAATAAATGTCACTGTTTCCTCTTAATATTAGTGTTGCAAAATGGTAGAACAAGTAAATTGAATGACTAAAACTAAATCGATCCTCTTGAAAATCTTGAAGCAGAATGATCTTTTTGTAAATTGTTAAGAGGAATTATCTATATGAATAGAAATAGGCAAGTAATATAGTAAATGTTTTTCATGGGAAACACCAAGAGGACATATAACATCAAGACAACAAACAAAAAGAGCAATGACAAAAAATGCTATGATCATAATGCCTACATGATTTAAAAAAAACAGAAACCATAATATTTACGCTACCAAATTGCTTAAAGAATAGAAAAAATAACTTAAATAATTGTTCACTCTCGATCAACTGCTTAAATTAAAAATAGACAACAATATATATATATTAAAACATTTCAAAAGAATATAAACAAATTATTTTTTTTTTTTTCATATCTTTACCTCTCAAGTGTTGATTTCTTGATTTTCCACTTGTTGTTGCTCATTGCCCTGCAATGTCCAAACTATATCTTTTAATGAAGGCTTTAATCCTTGATCACAAAAGTTCCAATATTCTGCAGTATCTCCTGATTTTTTTGTCACTTGTACAACATGGAAAGCTGGAGTAATCTCAAATATCTCTGCATCAATTGCTAATTGCCCTTTTCTCCCTTCTTTGCTTCCTTGCATTTTCACCGTCCCTTCTCTTTTCTTCACCTGTTGAAGACATAATAAAGTAAATAAAGTTTGTTCATTCTATAATACTAAACTTTTAGCTAAGATGGTCATAAGCTAAAGGTGATCAGATTAAACTTTTAGATGAGATGAACCTGCAGGCAAAGTCACATATAGGCTCAAGGGTGGTCAGATGAACATCTTTCACCGATATTATACTATGTATGGGTCATACGTACCTTAAAACTACCCATTGAAGCTACTTCCTCTAGCCTCGAGACAATAGTGGATGCAGACTTTTGTGTCGTGAATCTAGCATCCGACCTATGACTCTTATCTTTCTCGAACAAGCTAGAGAGATCAAACCAGGAGAAAGAGAAATGATATCGAAAGCATTCAAACAAGTAGGCTTCATTATTGTTGATGAACTCTGTTCTTTGTGTCTTGAAGAACACTCTGCATCCGAATCATCCACAATATCAAAAACACTACGAGGTGAATCATCGTCGTGTTCTTGATCCAAAACTAGTGGTTTATCAATTTGTTTGAATCCTTTCTTGAACCAATTATTGTCCATTAGCTTAGCTAATGTGATTCTTGAAAATGGATTTGGATCAAGAATTCTTGAAAGTAGTTTTTTCACTTCATATGGAAAATATTCAGGGCATTTAAATATCCCTTTACTAATTTTCTTATACATTTCCATTAAATTTGTGTCATGAAATGGAAGATAACCAGCTAACAATACAACAAAATCACCCCACATGACCAAATATCCGCCTTTTCGCCATCATATCCTCTCTTATTTATGACCTCTGGCGCGACATATGCTGGAGTTCCACACATCGTGTGGAGGAGTCCATCTTGTCTTTTCGTATCGAAAAGAGCACTCAACCCAAAATCAGAAACCTTTAGGCTTCCAGTTTCATCCAGGAGTATGTTTTCAGGTTTCAAGTCCCTATGATATACCCCTCGACTATGATAGAAATCAACAGACGCGATTAATTGGTGAAAGTATTTTCGCGCAGCTGATTCCCTAAGCCTCCCTTTAGAAACCTTATTGAAGAATTCACCACCTCTAACATATTCCATTGCAAAAAAAAAAAATTGTTTTGCTACTTCATAAAGTTCAACAACATTTGGATGTCTAATTAATCTCATAACAGAAATTTCACGTTTGATTTGGTCAATTAAGCCAACTTTCATGACTTTTTCTTTGTCAATTACCTTAACAGCTACAATTTGTCCTGTTTTTAGGTTCCTTGCATGATAAACTTTGGCAAATGTACCTTGCCCTAACAACTTACCAATCTCATATTTATGCATCAAAATTGTCCCCTTTTTCTCCGTTTTCGCGCTCTTCATGCTCATCATCCTGCAAGAGGATAGATGATGCATCCCAAGCACGCGAAGAAATTGAAATTATTGGCGAATCATCGTGTATTCACCTAGTGATTTCCCCTGGCTAATCATAGGGGAAAATTAACCAGGGTTAGAGGAGGTGTGTTTGTGTTGGGAAAAATTGAATCCAATGGAATGGAGAAAAATTTATGGAATTTAAAGAATTGGTTATTTTTGGAAACAAAAGAAAGATGGTTAAATTATGATATCAAGATTTTGGGTAGTTACTATATATATAACTAATAAATAAAAATAGAAAAAGTCTATATATATATATATATATATATATTTGTATTATATCTATCTATCCATTCCGTTTTATATGACACTATTTCCGATTAGAAAGTTGAATAACTCTTTCATATGTTTTATTACTGGTATTTTAAACCATATATAAGAAGTTACTTTATTTGTTTCGATTAATATAGTAGTAGTTAATTGAGCACGTACGTAGTTTCAATCTTTCAGAAGAAAAATATAAATTTTTGAAACTTATAATCTTAAATCATGTCATGCCATCTCGACAGCTATAAAAACATGTGTCACTAATTAAGGGATCATTTCTTCATTAGTGCATGCATGTCATCCTTTGTGCAATATTTATATTCATTGTAAAAAAAAAGTGGAAATTGGTATTATCTCTTTGATAAAGGTGAATTTAGAATTTATGAATTCTGAGCTCTACAGAAAGCAGCGTATTGAATAAGCAGATTTCTAACACAAAGACTGTTTTGAGTAAACCTATTAAATTTTGTTGAATCCGTACGTAATTAGAATTTTAGTTTTGCCCCTGCCTAACAAAAATAAATAATCCACCTCTCTCTTTAAATTTTTCCAATTCAAATTTCATGCTAGTTCAAAAATCTTTTTTACTTTTTAAAATTTCGTATCTGATTAAATTCAAACTAAAACACATAAAATAAAATAAAACAGATGAGTAATAAGAAGAAGAGAAGAAATAAACCAAAGATTTGGCATATGTACAACAAATTCAAACATGCATAATAATAACATAATGTTTTCTATTGAGTTAATGATCAAACACACATTTAAATTATCTTCATTTTTATTTTTTTTGAGTTTCACATTCTAACAATTAATTAGTTGTTTTACTTTTGCTACGTGAATTACACTATTGATGTATTAAAACACACCTCAAAACTACTTAAACCAATTATCAAATGTTCTCTTTTCCTATCTGAACTATCACCATCTACTTAACTAGATGTGTTTTAATACTTAGATCGTGATAGTTCATATAAAAAAAAAAAAGAGATGTGTTTTAATACTTAGATTGTGATAGTTCATATAGAAAAAAGAAAGCCGCTGACAACTAAAATATGAAACTCGAAAAAAAGGATAGATTTTGATCACTATCATATATAATAACAACACTAATAATCCCATAGCATATTTATCTCTAGCTTATTAATTACTATTATGTTCTTGTTCCCTCTTCTTTCCCCATTGTTGCAAACATAGCCTTATTCTCTTTGCTGCTGCTAAGTATTCCACACCTTGAATTGGTGTCAATATGCCCAATATCTCCTTTAGTGTCTTCATCCTCAACTCATCAACTTCTTCTAGTAAATTTGACATGTCCTCACCATGTTTATTTAAGGGCTCGATTTCATTCTCACCTGTTGCAAACATAATTAAGTAAATAAAATATATTTTCTTAAAAAAATAATTTTATTTTTAAAATAATTATAACTCGTTTGGATCATATGGTTATTGAATATTGTTTCATAATATGTTATTATATTGTATTATATTATTTTGATGAATATAACTTCTAGTTAGATTATATTATTTTTTATCATTTCATAATCTCATGCATTATCAATTTGAAGACTAAGCTTTTAGTATTACAAAGAAAAAGTAAAATATGGGATAAAATAATTTTCTTTTATAAAAAGTAAAATATGCTTGTTAAATAACAAAGACAAAATGAGGGGCGAAAAGGTAACAATGTGTTCATGATATACGCTTATAATAAGACTATAATATTTGTCGTTATTTGTTATACTTTCTTTTTTAATTTATTCCAAAAAAAATGCCATACTCCCTGATCTGGGTCACTTTACTTATCATGATTGTATAATTTTTTCAAAATACTTGTCATTTAAAAAAAAAAAATAGAATTAATTATTTGTCTCCACCCCTCTACATTCTTCCAATAAATGTATATATGGACAAAGATTAATATGATAAAAAAGGAAAAGTAATACTAAATTGAAATTAAAAAAATAAAAATTAAACTTCATGCTCAATCAAACATCGTTACGTACCTCTTTCAGCATTGTAAATTCTGGCCGCCATGGCAAACGGTTGATCAACAACATCTTCTTGCAAGCTAGCTAACCTTGAAGAAAATTTTCTCTCTTCTAAAATAATCTGTCTTTGTAACTTATCAATCGTGGTAATTTGCTTACCAGAAAGCTGACCAAAGTCTCCAATTTTCATACCCTGTGTGTACGTCCATAAAATTAGTTCATAAAATTATAACTTATGTCTAACTCGATTATATTTGAACAGGATAACTATCCTCCCCTTTATCAACTCAATCTATTTTTACTCAACTCATCTAAAAGTTTGCTATATAGCCCACATTGACAAATGACAATCTTAATTAAAGTATTAAAAACAAGACTTTTTTTCTTTCAGAAAGCAAACTCGCAGTCGTTGTCCTTTTAAGTCCACACGCACCAAATAAATCTGTTCATGTGCAATGAACTACAAATCATAGGAGATATAAAGCGCATAAGGTCAGCTGCAACGAACTTATATAAACCACAATAAACAAGCTCAGTGTGACGAGCTCGCGTCGACTGAGAAGGTATTGATGGAAAAAATTGATCTTTGACATTTCCTATTTAATACATTATATAAAATCATAATAAAAAATTATTAAATAATTAAATAAATTATAAAATAACAATCAACAAAATTAAAAATGTGTAAAAGTTGGACAGATTGAACTATGATCTATTGTTTAGATCATTAATTTATTTTAAGCTTAAAAAACTTTTCACCGATCAAATAATCCGTTAATACATTCAAATTTAACTCAACCTGATTATTTAACATCCTACCTGTAGATATTCTGCGATATG